TCTGTGGGCAAACTCAAGCTTGGGGATTCCAGACAACATGAAAAACTCCCTCTCAAGAGTGTTTTAATATTAGGGAGCTGTCTCGTCTGTGCGTTGAAGAAAAGTTTGCATGAAGTTTTCTAAAATCTGTCTCACCTAAAGCTTTTACAGTTACAAGCACTATCCTGCACTGCTGTGTACAAAGATCCTAATTGTACTCACACTGTTACACATTTTGTCTCATTTTTAATTGAATCACAGTCTGCCTAACGTTATGGTTCATCATGTATAGGTCTGTCTCTCCAGAAGGACCGAGAGCTGGTTGAGGTCAGGCTTTTAACGTCCCTGTGCCTAGTGCAGTGGCTGATACAAAAACAACTTAGTAAATGCTGGCTGAATAAGATTTTTCGGAACTTCCTCCGATCGAGGTTTGCTTATCACCCTACATACATAACAGAAATATTTGGAACTCTTCAAGAGGAAACCTAGTCCTTTACGGGTTCAGATATCATGACGAAAGATAACATTCTCACCAACAACCCAAAAGTTCAAAACCAGGAAACACTTAATAAAGGAGGTCCTGAGGATACGAATCTCTCATTTAATAAACATAAGAAAGTTCTCAGGGTCCTGTTGGCAGTAGATTGTTTCTGGCCCTAAGGTAAATACCCCTTTTCCAAGCTGAAATCATTGCCCAGCTGTGAAATAAGATGGCTGCCAGGAATCCAGCGGTGGCAGCCAACTCAACCCAGAGGTCCAATATTTCTAGGCACTGAACAGACACTGCAGTGAAACAGCAGTGGTGACCAGATGTCAGTAATGGCCTGAGGGCATCCTTCTGCCTCCCCTCACCCATGATGCTGCCTTTTCCCCCCACCCATGAAGGATGGCATCAAGAGCAATTACAGCACACCCCCAATGGGCTGTGCCAGGCTGGCAGCTGTAACACCTGTCACAAGGTCTGCATGACATTAACAAAGACCCGGAAAGTAGCTTTAATGAGCTGACCCTACACCAGACAGAGCCCGGCGCGGTACTGTGCATGTAGTGACTGCTTCAGATATATTGCTCACTGCTTGACAGAGGACTATTTCAGCAGCTATGTACTCTCTTTAGCACTTAGGACCGGGCTCAATACATGCATTCTCAAAGCCCAGGTCTTCACAGTGCCACCTCTTATCTGGAAATGGGACATGAAAATCTGTGAAGCACACAGCACCAGCTCCATGTGTTGCCCACCTGAAATTTTTTTTTTTTTTTTTTTTTAATTTGCGAGAGAGAGAATGAGAGAGAGCATGAGAAGGAGGAGGGTCAGAGGGAGAAGCAGACTCCCTGCTGAGCAGGGAGCCCGATGTGGGACTCGATTCCGGGACCCCAGGATCATGACCTGAGCCGAAGGCAGTCGCTTAACCGACTGAGCCACCCAGGCGCCCCCACCTGAAAATATTTATCAGTGACATTTAGGTGATGAATTTATGCACTGAGGTGATGAACTTAACGTGCGACACAACACTCTTTTTGTGGTGAACCTGTAACTTTGGGAATTGTAAGCTCTTAAAGATAGCATTTCTCTCTCATCTCGCTTTCTCCAGTGAGCAAAACGCTGCATGAACTCAAGTGGATGGATGAGCAGATGAATGTATGAAAGTCACTGAATTCTTACAAAACTGATCAGGAGACAAACAGTCAAAAAAGCAAAATGGTTATGCGATTGACAGTCTTCAGGGGTGCCTGGCAGGCTCAGTCGGTTGAGTGTCTAACTCTTGATTTTGGCTCAGGTCATGATCTCTGGGTCGTGGGATAGAGCCCTGCATCAGGATCCATGCTCAGTGTGGAGTCCGCCTGAGATTCTCTCCCTCTGCCTCTGCCCCTCCCCCTGCTTGCGCTCACACTCTCGCTCTCTCTCTCTCAAAATAAATAAAATCTTTAAAAAAAAAAGTCTTCATTTTGGTTAACTATCAACATTTATAGGCAAAGGGAATGATTTCAGGATAACGGAACACTTGAGGACACTGGGCTATAAGGGGTGCCTGGATAGCTCAGTCTACTGAGCATCTCACTCTTGATTTTGGCTCAGGTCATGATCTTAGGGTCGTGAGATCCAGTCCTGCATCCAGCTCCACACTCTGCGGGGAGTCCGGTTGAGATTCTCTCTCTCTCTCTCTCTCTCTCTCTCCTTCTGCCCCTCCCCCCCCAAAAAACAGTCATACAAAATGCTTAGTCAATTCAGTAAGATAACTGATAAACCATGATACTAAGGTTACTAATGATTAACTACAGAAGGACCAGAGAGCTAATTCATGGAAGGAGCCCAGCACACAATGTCTAAGACAGAGTAAGCTTGGTATGTGATAGCTATAATTACACTTCTGATTACGGTGATTAATAAGTGAAGGCAAGTGATTTCTAATGTGTCCCCCATGGATCAGTCACCTCATCTTCAAAAGAGTTATAATGAACAATGACACAAAGATGGTTGGCTTTCGTAACCAACAGCGATAGTATTTCTAGATCTTTTTTAAGAGTTGAAAGGAATCTAAGAAGTCATTTTAGTCTAATCTCCTCATTTTTCAGAAGAGGAAACCACTATAGTACCCCACCTCCCGCCCCTGCAAATTCATATATCTGTATCTGAGGTCATGCAACCGGGTGGAAGCCAAGAGACTTAACTGATCAGTGCTTCTGATTCTCTTTTTGTCTAAAGGGACAAATAAGGCCTAGCGCCTATCAACTCCTACTATCATAACAAATGATGTATCAAGAGTCTTATTTTAAGTACCTGGCACAAAGGTTCAGTATGAATTCAAAATAACATTACTCTTTCAAAACAATATTGATGAAAATCTCTACTGTTAATACTATTGCTAATACCACCATTAATACTACTATATTTATGTGTTGCTGATTTTATAAGAGATCCTGGGAATATTAATACTCGTAAGGAGGTTCCCGTTTCCTTTCTCAAACAGCATTATGATCAGAGCTTCACAACAATATAGCTACATCTAAATACTTAGTCGCTTATGATTCATACCTTCCAAAATAAAACAGCTCACTTCCAAATTTAAATTTTGTCTTCAAATTTCAGACACATAAAGCAGCCACTAGAAAACAGTGGGTTTTAATTGGATGCACCAGGTTTAGTGATTTTCATTCTTTGGGGTTCACACAAGGTTTACAGGACTTCATTCTGTTTATGGGGTTCAGACAAGGCTCAAAGTCAACTTCACCTGGAACTTCTCACATGGTTTGCGCATTAACCAGGGATTGGGTGGTTTATAGATCATCCAAAAGAATTTCTATCTTGGAGTCTTGCCGTGAACTCTAAGTATTTAAATTCCAAATGAGTTTACGTCACAAAGTGACTGAACATTTTAGTATCTGTTTCTGTTTTCTTATTTTTGCTCTTTTAAAGTAAAAACTGTAAGGCAGATACCTGGAGAGAAGCGTCTGATAATTTGAAGTTTAAGGAGAAAACAGAAATAAAAATGTAATGTGTTAAAATGTATACAATATTTTACAGTTTACAAAGGTTTCCACATATATTAATTCGTCTGAATGCTAACCACTGACCTTTGTAGGATGTGATTAGATCAACTTTACCCCTAATATTATCTCAGACTCTTCACCTATGTAATTATACATTCTCTAACTGAAATATTTATAAGGAATGATAATCAATTATTAATAGCATTTATTTTGTAAACAAAGTGTTAAATTAAGTCAGTTTATAGCATTTTTCCTCCGTGAGGAACAAAAGCTTGGACCATAATATATGGAAAATATTTTGGTGCCCCACAGTTAGGACTTTGAACTTTGAAAAATATACTTTATATTTATGGAAATGTTTTCAGGGGATGTTATAATGAAGTTGTACTGTGTATACCACGGTTAAACATCAAACACAATGAATGGGTACTTAAGAAAACAAAAGTTACCCCCCTCAATTTAATTCTTCACATACAGTTTATTAGATTTTAGGATGGCGTCATAACTTTAGTCAAGAAAAAGCCATCTGAATTTACGAAGCTGAAATCATCAAACGTTTAAGTCCTCCTCACAGGAACGTATGAAATGCCATTTTGCTCACATTCTGAAGATCCCAATTATCACAGGCATATATATATATATATATATATATATATATATATATATATATATACACATATATATATACACACACACACACACACACACATACATATATATATCTTCCAACTCAATATACATATATATACATATACACACATATATATATGTATATTGAGTTGGAAGAACCTAGCACAAGAGGACTTTTAATCCAACTTATTTCAATCTATTGAAAGTATTTAATGATGAAAAAGTATTCAAATTTCTATTCTATCTCAAATAATAGATTAGCAAAATTCGTATCTCTGAGTCCACTTATTGGCGACAATTTACATCGAGATAGGTAGAAATAAAATCTTTCAGGACTCTTCCTTGAAAACCATTAGGTGTATGTAGAAAACAGTTTATGTGAGGCAAAAATACTAGGGCATTTTAAAGGAGGGGACTGGTACTCTTTTGTTTGAGGAAAAATTCCAGATTTGGGCCTCCAGCCAGAACTCATGAATTATCTAAGGTTTTTAAACAATCAATTATGAAAAGCACTAAAACACTGTCACATTATCTGAATGCTACTTAAAAGTAAGTAATAACTACTCTTCTGAGAATTTCTGATCCAAACCCAGGTGACTACGGTATGCTAGATTATCCAAGCCCGTCATTTTATTTATAATTCATAACCGTATAATTAAACTCACAGCGACTCAAGGTGCACCACCACCAACCCCCTAGCCCTTCAGCCGCACTGCACACTGGCGTGTAGCGAAGGGTAGCCAGCTTCTCTCACCTATCCTGGCAGACCCAGGCCTCTGGCTGTGAAGAAAACCACAATGTGGGGAGGAAAGCCTACAAAAGAATGAAAACAGAAAGTGTCTAAGGCCTTGGCAGAAGGACACTAAATAAAATAGAGAGTGGTGACTCATTTTGGCAGTGAGTTCACCTCAACCCCTTCAAAGCCTTTGGCAAGAGTCCTCAGAGGAGACCCCAGCGTTTTGCCAAGCCACAAAACACCACAATTATTATCACAGCGGCGATCAACAAAACAGATTTTGTAAACTGACTTGTTGGCACAGAGATTAAAGAAGCTATAAAAAGGAATAACAGCTGTTTGGGTTGCCCTATGCAGAAAGCTACTATATAGAAAGTAAAATTTCTATCTCTATACGTACTCGGGTAGACACGAGCACACACACCCACCCCACGTCCTAATTATACACACGTACTACGTACAAGAGGGTACAAGGCCAAACACATCGCCGCAAAAATTATAAAACACAGACAGCTCTTTTGAATGAAAATACTCACTTTGGAAGGACAAACAGATAAATTTCCTGAAGAAAAGATTTTACAATTCAATTTAAAATAGGGACTACGGGGCCGCCTGGGTGGCTCAGTCGTTAAGCGTCTGCCTTCGGCTCAGGTCATGGTCCCGGGGTCCTGGGATCGAGCCCTGCATGGGGCTCCCTGCTCAGTGGGAAGCCTGCTTCCCCCTCTCCCACTCCCCCTGCTTGTGTTCCCTCTCTCGCTGTGTCTCTCTCTGTCAAATAAATAAATAAAATCTTAAAAAAAAATAAATAAATAAAATGGGGACTGCATCTCACAATGGCAAAATAAATAAAGGTTTAAAATACTGAAAAAGTACTGGGCTCTGCATGTAAGCAAGAATGCTGATGAATTCTTCGAGAATTTCCAAAAATATCCCTTACTCTATCTCCCTAGACATTGCCTGATTGGCATTTTATACTGTAAATTTTAGAATTATCTCATGTTTCCGGCAATTTGAAACAATTCACTTCCTTACATATTCATAGATATAATCCGCTATGAACAAGGTAAAAAAAAATTTAAATGATTTAATTTTTACCTTTGCTGCGATAATATTACTCACCTAAATAAGCTGCCAATGAATAACATGTAATAGAATAGGAAAAAAGGACAGGTAATAATTAGTACTATTTATATGTTCCTAACTTGAAGATTAAAGAGGTACTTTGATTTACTATAAAGAGGCCTGGTCTCCTGATTTTTAATTTAAAAAGAAATACTCGAGTTCCCTGTCACCAGTTCATAGTAAGATATATAAGAATCAGCAAGAAAGACTCTTAATCAAACTACCTTAACATTTGTAATATCATACAACATCACCAATGTACTCTGTAAATATGTACCGAAGGATCTGCTACGCAACTTTCATCTCACCCATTTGCCCAGCTAACCTCTAAATGCCTATCCTATGGAGCTCTATGTTGAAATCTCCAGAGTGAAAGCATCTTAATGGCATTGATCTTTTACACTGAAGGATGCAGAGTTCAGATTTCAGCACTGTCAATAACATTTGTTTTCACCTATTGAATGAGCAGGTCTTGGCTGATAACTGTCTACCACCAGGGAAAGGACTAGAAATGAACTTACCAGAGTCTTAGCTGCAAACACTGTTGACTAAATGGCAAGGGAAAAATCGGTAAAAAGGGGATTGAAAAGCGACCTTTCTTGGCTACCTCTTACAGTAGAGTATGCCAGGTATACATCTCATCTCCTGAGGGCTCCATGACTGAACCCCTCCTAAAACTGCAGATTTCCAAAAGCTCCAACTACAGACACTATTTCCTATAATAGTATCGCTAGCTGATTCTACTAACGGACGTGAAACCACCACCTTCCCGACAACCCGCTTTTTGCTACTTAAGAATTAAACAAAATACTCTTCCAATTAAAAAACCCTCGTTAGGAATTCAGGTTTCACCAGAATGGAAAACCCAGTCCACAGCTGATACGAAACAGAAGACTTAATGCCAGCCATTCACTGAGTCAACCACCTGCCTGGAGAAGTTAACTCACCAGGATATTTTTTAAAGCGTCACACGGAGGAAAACTTTAACAAGCTGCAGAAATACATTCCCTTTCGGAGCATTCTTCAAATTGCCACAAGCTCCACAGTTCTTCAACTAAGTCTGGCGTTAGTTGTTTGTACCTAACAACCAAAACACAGTGAAAACTGCGTGGGGATTAATTAAAATCCCTTTCTCCGGGCTTTGTTTTTCAAGTGCAGACTCTTTTCCTCTATTATCCTTTCCCCCAGCTTCTCCATCTACCTTGGAACCCAAGCACATTATGCAGCCAGCCAGCACAATGAACTAACATGCCAGCAGAAGTAGTATGCTCCACCTATCCAAGAATTTTAAAAGCATCCAAGTACACACACACTGTCTCCTGTGTAGCGTGGAGATCCCTATTGAGCTCATGCCAAGTGTCTGAAAAGTTGGACCCTGCATCCGGTATTTACACTAAGCTAAAATTCTAATCAGCACTCACAGCAGTATGTTTTAATTCGCCCTTATGATTTTATTTCAATCTGCTAAGTAGCACAACTGCCAGAAAGCAATTGCTGTAAACTTAAGTAAACAAATGCAAAACTAAAATAAATCCTAAACCTGTTGTATGTAGAGTTTGTGCCACTTCAGGCAAGCAGTACAAAAAGGCACAGCCTGAAGTCTCGGGTAACGCTCTCCTCGGTCTCGTTGACGAAGCTCTTGGAAAGCACTGCCTTGTCTGGGCTTCCCCCAGGCCCCCCTCTCAGTTAGGTGTCTGGTGCGTATTAGATGAGGTAGAGAAAACGGCCGTGCGGTTCGGCGGCGGTGTTTTCACCTCACGTGTTCCCCTCAACAGTCCTCCGCCAAGCATGTGGAACAAGGAGAACACGGTGACTACTTGAATCTCTGGATGACACCATAACCACTCGTGCCAAGGAGCTGGTGCCAAGTCTTGCATCTTCGGGTTTGTTTTTTTTTCCCCCCTCCGTCCCTTTTGGGTGGTATTTGCGGGCGGGGGGGGTGGCAGTAGGGGAACGTGAGCCACAGACCCTGAGAAGTTGGTCACCATTTTGAGCTGGTCGGTGTGCTCAGACCTTGGCAGCCATCTTACAGCTTGGCAACCATTTTGAGGATTTGCTTGGCGAGCCCTCAGAGTTCGCGGACGCTGTGTGCGTGGAACGCTGGTTAGGAAGAGTCCCGTGAAACTAGACAATGGGGTGCCAGGGAGAACCACCCTCAGGGGGCCTTGCCAACAAAATAAGTCAGGACATCTTCACCGGGGTAAATGACATTCAAATTCTCTTCGATACCTCGCGCTAGAGCAGCTTAAAAGCTGACTCTTTAGCCCTTCAGCAGACAGGTTCCTAAAAATCAACACTGGGTGGGCACCAGTGAGCAGGAAAGTGGAAAGTATCAAGAATGAAAGCGGTGGCCGAACACGTGGTCACGACCGACATCGCGACACCCACAGGTCCGTTCAAATGCAAGATACAAAATGGAAGGGAGAAGTGCTGTCATCCCGCCCCATGGAGTATAATTCCAGAAGATGATCCCACAACTTCAGACTATGTCCCGCTTAACGTTTTATGAGTTCATGGCAACTATCTTAAGGGGTCATGCAGTGCAGGACTCTTCCTTTGGTAAGGAAATTACCTTAAAAAAAAAAAAAAAAAAAGCAACCTAAAGAACTTGCGTAAAAGAAAACAAAAAGGAGACACTCGTACATGACGGCACTTTTCCAAAATCAGGAGTTACACATGTTTTCTGAGAATGCTGTTATATTCAACTTCACCTCAGTTTCAGTGGTTGTAACTTGATGAAAAATAAGTTCTGTCCCTGAAAACATTTTTTGATGGCTACAAATCTGAAATACAAATGATAATTTTGCATTGGTATAACTCTGGCATCATCACCAGATTATACAGTTTTACAGAAGGCTGAATTAACTAAAATGATATTGAATGATAATTTCACCACCGGATGGAAAAGGAGAATGATAATCTAATAATCTGAAATATCTTTGCCATACTGAAATACATAGCATTTTAATATACAATTTAGTATCTCCCCTTCAGCATCATGATGATTTAATATCACATTAGTATGGGGGAATGGTTTATGGTAAAAAGGCCATATCGCTTATGGTTTTATGAAAAAAAATCTATGGGGAAAAAAAACCAACCTTTCTATGAATCCACTATTATAGTTAAATCATAAATTTATGAAGATAAAGCCTAAATAATTTTGAATATTGTGATGACAAAAGACAAAAATCTGAAGTCATTAAATAATATCCCTAGCCAAATATTTGTCATTTAAATTTTAATGCATCTTGGGGTAAGAGGGACACCCAGCTTGTATTCTATTTCTAACTATGATATAATTCATAGTAGCACCTAAAAAGGGCTAAATCCATGCACTATTTCCAATGTTTATAATGTTGCAGTGCTTTTTGAACTTGAAGACTGAATTTCTAAATTTCTAGTGAAATTTAATTCAGGAAATATTTTACTTCACATAATACCATACAAATGAAACAATTCATTAATCCATGATCAAAACTAGAGCATTACATGGGAAAACATTATGCTGAAATGGATCAGTCTTAAGTCTTGATACTATTAGATGTCTCTTTATTGAATGACAGTATCTGCAGTAGATGACGTAAACGGTGCTAGCATACTTTAGAATGCATTGATAAATTGCTCTATTGATTCCGTTCTGCTTCACTTACCATAATTATAGCACAGTAATGGAAGACATGAATGATATATTTTTACTAGAGAGGAAAGCCCAGAGTTTGCCTGTTTCTTTATGAGATTATACCAAATCCTTTCAATTAATACAGCATGATGGATATCTAACACTGTCTGAGAGTAAGAGGCCTGATTCTAGTGTTCTTGCTTAAATATTATTGTTCAAATATTTGACAGTATTTCAAATAAATGAATTTAATATTTTAAAGACCTAGCATTTGCACTTCTATAATGCTGTCTCAACACAATTTTACAGAAACATTTTCATTCCATTTAGGAATTGATCTTTCAAAACTTGAAGACATTTTACAAATGCAACTTTATTATCTTGTACTCACTGAATAGACTAGAGGTTACCTTAAAGCTTTTCAAGAACAATTCTGATAAGAGTTACGGTGTTGAAGAAGAAGAAATATTCGAATGAGAGAGAAGATAGGTAAGCAACTTCAACTATTATTTTCAGAAGAGAAAATTTAATGATTTGCTAACCCACAGAGCAAGACGTTTAACAGAAAGGACTCCAGTGAAAATTGAAACTTTGTGGTAGACATAATTTGTAATGATTCTTCATCATCCATAATTATTCAATATCCATAAAGGCTACCATATTGTTTCAAAGAACCCAAAATCTGCATTAGAACCACACAAGCACTATAGTTGACACTGTGACATTTTCTTCCTAATATCACCATTCCAGAGTATTGCTAAGAAAAGGACACCAGGTTTTCCCAAACGTACACATTTAAAATTAAAAGTATCATTCCAAGTCATGCCAAGAGAATCTAAGAAATTCTAAACAGGACACAACTGGGCCTTAACAATTTCAAGAAAGGCTTGAATTGCTTTGTATTTTAAAATATTCTTTAACAAAAAGACCTCATTTTAGTAGCTTCTGCTGTTTAGAAGAAAAATACATAAATATGGTGAATTTGTAAAAGAATAATCAATTCATGGAAGAAAAAAATTTCCCCCAACAACTATATGGTGTAAAAATTGATCTGTACTTCCCCCTTCATATTACCAAAGCTGTCACAGGGAATAAAATGTAACCCAGGAGGGCTGTGGCAGCTATCAAACCTTCCCTGATACATTATAATGTCTGAAGCCCAGACACCAAAGGTTGACATCAGAAAAACTCCATCATGTAGCGAACAACTCAAAACCAACTATCGACCATGCTATTGATTTTTAGTGGGGAAACCAGGAGGGGAAACGCACCAGAAAAGATAGAATTTCCCTTTTCTTTTCTCCTCTCCAACTTAGTGGGCTGCCAAGCGTAGGTCCTCCCGGCCATGAGCCCTCTGAGTTTTGCATTGCAGCTAGCCAGGATGTCTGCCTGCGATAATTCAAGCTAAAGGCGTACAATCTGCAGTAGAAGCCAATTCTTCATTGACCTGCAACATAACCTAACTCAGACCCAAAAGCGTTTCTTGAGAGAAGGATACAGAAGGAGACAAATAAAACCTATGATTATCTTTTTCAGGTGGTATTTGAAGATCTCTGACTTCAAGAGTTCACAAATTAAATTCGACTCAACAACTGATAGGAAGCGAAGCCAATCATATTTGAAACAACTTATACGTATATGATAGACAAGGTGTGACAGATAGATTTATTTGACCCACCCACTCCGAAATTCCCAGCTAATTACACAGAAAAGTTCCAAGTTGATAATTTCAAAAAGCTAATTTTTCCCTTTCACATAAATTTACACAAAATGGGTTATTTGAGAAGCTGAAAGGTAAGAAAGCGAAGTGCTTGCTTTAGCTCCTTGGGGTCTTAATCATGTAATTTTGAATTGGTTGAGGATCATTTACTTGGATCATTATAATCATATCCTACAAGTATTCTGCCATTTAATTTGTGAAATGCATGACCACAGATCATGTACATGGAAAGAATTATTAGATGCATTCATTTTACTATTAAATTTAGAGATGGCTCTGAGCCATTTAAAAATAGTAACAATAATAATAATGATTAATCACAATGCACTTCCATTCTGACTCACAGAGCTATCTCAAGGGGTTTTCCAGCTGTTTGCTAATTAAGTCTCATACCCCCCTGGCTAGGAGATGAGCACTGTCAGGCCAGTCTTACACCTGGGAAAGCTGAGGCACAGCAAAGTGATAATGGTAAGCCAAGATCCTGGGGCACACACAGGAATGAAAATAAGAATGTGGGAAACTTACAGAATATTCCACCCTTTGAATTTATATTTGAAAATAGTGAGAGGAAAGAAAAAAATAAACTTGTATAACTAACAAAAAAACGATCTGGCTTACCTCTTATTGATTTTGTTACTTAAAAAAAAAAAATCAAACAATGAGTCTTATTTATTTGGTTGCTTTTACCTATTCTGCCCATAAGACTTTTGTGAATTTTCTGAACTCCATTTCTAATATTTTGCCCACTATAGATACTTAAGAATTTATTAGTTGATTGTCAAAATAACTAAGGCTATCACTAATATAACCCAACAAAGATAAGTTTCTTTTATTAGCTTTGGTTTAATAAAATGACTTAGAAATTATAAAAATAAGTATACGTATTTTGTAGAATTATGTAAAAGCTTTTACTTAGAACATGGCTATGTGAGTCTGAGGTTCTCAATAATATGGATTAGAGATGACCACATCATTGACTGTTTTGAGGGTTAAGGAATGCTTTCAACTCATTCATTCATTCAGCACTGGGGATGGTGAGGAGAGGCGCATCTACCACACCATGCACCATGCGGCATTCTAGGTGCTATGGGTATAGCAGTGAACCAGACAAAACTCCTTGCCCTCTGCGATCTTATATTAGACTGGAGTTGAAAACAAAGTTTTTAGATGCCTATTAAATTCATTGATGCGACAATTAGTAAACATCTTGGGCACTGGGATACAAACCTGAAAAAGTCACTGGCTATGGCTTCAAAGAGTTGTGTTTTTTGTTTTCTTTTTCTTTTCTTTTCTTTTTTTTTTAAGATTTTTTATTTATTTATTTGAGACAGAGAGAATGAGAGGGAGGACGGTCAGAGGGAGAAGCAGACTCCCTGCAGAGCAGGGAGCCCGATGCGGGACTCGATCCCGGGACTCCAGGATCATGACCTGAGCCGAAGGCAGTTGCTTAACCAACTGAGCCACCCAGGCGCCCCTGTTTTCTTTTTCTAAGGGTTAAGTTTTTTAAGGTTTTCTCCCTGATGAAAAGCAGGAGTGATTGACATTGCTCATTGAGCTGGACCTAATGAGAGAGGTGGACACTAACTGCCCGTAGACTAAAAAGCACAGTCCTGGGCTGTACCCTTCACACATTAACAGAGTAAATGCATCCACGGAGTCACTGTCAACTAATCAACAACAGGGAAAAGAAAGGAGTTACAAAAATAAAGAAATTGAATGATGAGAAACAAGAAATAGGTCCTTTCTAAGAAAACTCCTTTCTAGGAACAGTTAAAAGGTATCCAAGTTTGACTAGTAGACCAAGGGATGGCGTGAAGGTGTTTGTGAGCCCTACAACTTTAGGCTTTTCTATGTCTTTGTCTAGATAACATTCTTGTAGGTGAGGATCACGACTCATGGTTTGGATGTGATAAAGTACATTGTGACAACTCACATCAAAGAAAGAATATAAACATCATATACAACACCCGCCTTAAAAGCAGCAGCTTTTAAGCTCCTTGTTCCAGGATATCTTGTGCCATATGTTTGGGGACCCCACTTGGCAGTACACTCAAAAGTACTCCCTCCACTTCACACCTATTTAACCGAAGAATGCTCTCGAATGATGACTGTGTCCGTCAGTTCTAAGCAGAATAGCTGTTCTCATGTTGACATTGACCTAAAGAAAATTACTTCTCTGCCCCCTTTTCCCACCTTCTTCTTAAGGATGGATCTTTCCTGAAATGGTAAGTATACCCTGCATTGGATGCAGATGAACTGGCCATTTCAGGATGTTTTTAATGTTTTCTGAATCAGCATTAGAACATAAGAGCAGCCCCAGTGTTCTGTCCCAAGGCAGGAGCTAAAGGGAGGGAAGGGAAGTTCAGCAACCATATGAATAAGGGAACGTCCTTCCCCCGATCTATAATCTGCATCATCAGACACTAACCCCCCCAAAACAATGTCTACATAACTGCAAAGCAATCTTCAATTGAGTGGGGGGACCCAGTCCCCTTCCGTTCTTACAAATGAAATTACAAGCTGATAAATCAGCTTTTTTTCACCCTTTTTAAATTGCTTGTCATGGAGTTGTTCTATTCCTTCATTCGCTCAACAGACACTGGTCCTCCTGTCTACCATATCCTTTGCACGAGTTGTAACTTCCGTTAGTGGGAACAGCTTCTTTCTTGTGAGTGGAGTCTTATAAGGGGTATAAAGACTTGACTCTGTTTAAGAGAGGACCCACCAGGGGGAGGGAGGGACTCAAATACGAAGCCAGGGAAACCAGAGACAGATGTCATAGCCTTCACAGGTTTGCAGAAACCCAGGACGGCTGTCACTGTTAACGGCTCTATGTCCAGGAAACAACCCCGTTGTGGTCATCTTTAAAAACAAAAAACGTACAAATATTGTAACACAAATTATTCCTTCTTGTCTTTTAGTGAAAATCTCATTCTGGAAGTACCGGCAGTCAAAATACATAGTCAGTCTTCTTGAGTAACTGGAAATTCATCAGCTCTTGGACTATTAAAGCAGCAGAGCTAGAGAGGCGGGAACAGTGACAGCTCTCTGGGTAACATGAAAAGCACAAACTTTATTTTTTGGGTTTTTTTTTTTTTTTTTTTTACCTAAAGTGGTTAGATACTGCCTCTATTGCTCGGGCAGCAGCTAGGTACCAGAGGCCTCTCTGAGGGATGCGTTTTGTTGATCTGCCAGTATTGTGAAGGGATAACAAAGGGCCAAGCACCATGATAGGTGTGTAGAGACAGAAGAAGAGAACAGACATTCCAGCTCATAGAAGAGAACAGAGAACAGAGAGGGCACACATGTACCCACAGAATTAATGCAAGGATGGATCAGCATCAAGCATTCAAAACTGCAGAACTAGGGTTCAAAACTGAGAAACCCTGTTTATATCAGGTCCCTGTGAAACTGGCCCTTCAAAGCACTAGGAACAAGGGCAGACTCTTCTTTCCCTTCTGTCCACATTGCTTAAAATGAGAAAAAGTTAAGAGTTCAAAGACGGCTTCACAGCTCCCTGTGCATCTACCGATGGATTCTCAGAAGAAAATAATCAATTATGCCAAGAACTACTGAAACCAATTTAATGGAAATGGCATTGGGGATACACCAACCTATGGTCACTTCCCTTGGGCTCTGAGAAGTCAAGCCCCACGATTTCAACCACTTCAGCCTAATTCTAAATTCCAATGTTCATTCATTTATTTATAGAGCAAGTATTAAGCACCAACTATGACATTACTCCTCTGACTTCTCCAGTTCCCACAGATGTCCCTCCACTGGGCTCCTTCAAGAGCTGGAGCATGTTGCTATCACAGGACTTTTTTTAAGAGTATAGTATTATGAGGATCTGTTTAGGGAACTTTCTCCCATTGCCTATAAACTGGGGTTTCTCCAAGTCTGTGGGCTGCTTGCATCTGAAGCACCTGTTGTTGAGAAGTATAGATCTTTGTGTCCCTGGCCAAAACCTCTGGGTGTGAATCTTGGAACTATGCCTGCTTAATAATTCTCTCCAAGGGATTGTTATGCACACAACAGTTTGAGAATCATGTCTATATCTTCTTTCCTAGGCAGCCTTTCATCTCCAGTATCCAACATAGAGCTTAAACATGAAAATGGTAGGCATTCAACTGTAAGGGAGGAAACAAAGAAGGACAGTAAAAACAAACAAACAAAATACTGCCTTAGAGCCCAGGGACAGCATGAAAGCATAGAATACACTCTATAAGAGCTGAGAATCTATTTGGGAAGATAGTATGCATTCAACAGTGTAATAATGATAAATTATAAATTAATAATTTAACAATAAACTACAACTAAAAGTGGTTAGAAAGCAATTAAAAATTTTTCCAAATGAATTTACGAACAGTAAGTGAAAGCAAGCGTTTAGAAAAATGAGATCAAACAATCAAACTTAGGGGTGACATTAGCTCAGGAGAGCTCTTTGGAGATGGGGCTTCAGGTGCTTTTAGAAAAGAGGAAAGGATTTACATAAAAAGGGAAGAGAGAAGAAAGCATTTATATTTAAAACCAGAAGAACTGGACTAAATCTGAAAGAAACACGTTAAAAAAAAAAAAAAAAAAAGACCCCTATCGTGAGTGTTTTTAAAAAAATCTGTCCGTTAATTTTTGCCACAATTAATGGAACAAATAATTATAGGCCAGCAAGTTTGAAATACAGTGCCAATAAAAACTTTTACAACTCTGGAAATTTCTAAAATTGGTTCCCTTTAAATTTGTAGCATAGGCAGAATACCGGATGATGTGGTACAGTAAAAACATTTTATTGGCATTTAGTTGAGATGACCTGCATAACTCACTTGTGGCTTTACCACTTACAGCATGTCATCCAAACTCACGGTAATAAAATGTTGATGTAATAGTGCTCTAATATGCTTTACATAAATATGTACATATATAATATATATAGCTTAATTTCCCTCTTAGTTAAAATGGGTCTAGCCCAATCATTCAGAGGAGTATTTTTGAACTGAGATTAATTAGTGTTCCTGGAATACCTACAAAATAAAGAGCCGCCCAAATGCCATGCTGTATTATTCAGATATAACCTACTCAATATTTACTTCTGTAAATGCATAAGTAAAATAGGGGAAAACAATTAGAAAAATCATAAATCGCTATTCTGTTCCTTGATCTTTGTGGACTTGCTTTACATGTTTCCAATTCATTACATTAATTTTTAGCATTTTAAACTGTTTTGAGCCCTTCATCAGGAGACTGAAAACCTAGGTCCCAGCCTCAAGCCCATCATTAACAGCTGGGTGTGATGCTAGTAAAATCACCAAACTTCCTCGAACCTCAGTTTCCTTATTTATAAAATGGGGCTGACGATTCTTGGCTTCTCAAGATGCAATACCCTTTTGGTTTTTGTCTTGGTTTAGCTGGTATGTAAGCAAGTCTTATCTTCTATACAACCTTCTTAATGATGGAGCTGTTTTATACCATTCTGAAATGTAATAGCACCAAATTCAGTCCAAAGTGCATAAAAGAATCTGAATAAGTATTTTAAATGGATCCAAATTTTACATATCTATGATTTTGTGTCATTTATTTGCTTAAATAAAACATTGTTATATGTTTATAAATATCAGCAAATGAGCTAATGACCTTAATCTACGCATCTAATAAAGAAATGATTAGCACAGACAGTATAAACACTAACTCATAAAACTTTATTATTTATTCCTGAAAAAAACATTAAATATCTGTCAAACTTTAGCTGTGACATAAAATGTATGTACTTACATTTTATGTCCAGTCATTGTTTAGTTCCAAGATGTTACAAAACTAAGAAATTTTAAAGCAACTGTCCCAGAAAACAATTATATAACTATAAAATTATGTCAGAGACATAGAACTTCATGAATTTCAAAGTTAAGGGATTTTTAAAAATTTTTATTTTATTATGTTATGTTAATCACAATACATTACATCATTAGTTTTTGATATAGTGTTCCATGATTCATTGTTTGTGCATAACACCCAGTGCTCCATGCAGTACATGCCCTCTTTAATACCCATCACCAGGCTAATCCATCCCTCCACTCCCCTCCCCTCTAGAACGCTCAGTTTGTTTCTCAGAGTCCATAGTCTCTCCATGGTTCATCTCCCCCTCTGATTCCGCCCCCCTTCATTTTTCCCTTCCTACTATCTTTTTTTTTTTTTAACATATAATGTATTATTTGTTTCAGAGTTATAGGTCTGTGAAAGGGATCTTTTTATATTCATTTCAACAAATAATATGGGAGTGCCCATTATGTTCCAGCCATTGTGCCAGATGTTAGATATGCAATGAGCTTCACACTCTAATGGGGGTTACTAGCTACTCATGGCTACTGTATAGTGTGGTAAGTGCAATGACAGAAGCATATAAAGATACTAAGGAACAGAGAAAGTCCGTCTCTAACTTTGCAAGAAGGTGTCTGCAATGGTTTTCCAAATGAAACAATGCATACACTGAGTGTTGCAAGAGGACCTGGAGTTTTGCAGGCTGTGGAGCCATCTGGATGGAGAGAATTCTCAGCAGAGGAACTAGAATATGCAATGGCACCACACTGCTATTGCCCCCCTGAGGTACTGATGAGCACAGAGCCTTGGTAAACCACAAGCATTTCAACACAGGTGGATGGGAGAGCTGAAGGCTAGTGTATCCGAGTGTGAAAGGTGGGGTGGCACTCATGACACCACAGGGGTGAGGAGAGGCCAGACCATAGAGCACCTTGTATGAAATGCTGAGAATCACGAAATTTACACAGCAGGTGATGGAAGCCATTGAAGGGATGTCAGTAAAGAAGTGGTCTTTTTTTGTTTTTTTGTTTTTTTTTGGAAAAATCACTCTGGAAGTAGCATCATGAATGGGTGGAAGGGATGGATGATAAAGAAAGAATAGGAGCAAAGAGAGGTGGCTACAAAGATAGTGTAGGTTAGACATAATAAGGAATAAAACTAAAGGAATCGCAGGGCAAGACGGGAACCGATTTGCATGCTAATAAGAGGGCTGACTTGGCAAACTTGGTGGCTGATGAGAGATGCGGCATGATGAAGGAGGAGTAAGAGATAACTTCCAGGTTGCAATATGGGAGAGATGCATAAGGGGTAACCCCATTAGGTGCCATTCTTTCCCATTCCCTTAATCTTCATAATTCAGGACACTAACTTCATAGCTGGCTTTTTCATCAAATCACTGCCAAATTATTTTAAGGTTATTCCTAGATATTTTGTACTTTTTATTCCTTTCCTGAACAAGATCTTTTTTCAACCCTAGCTTCTTATTGGAGACAATGAAAATATACTGCTTTGGGGTATTTATGTTTTAACCAGATATTCTACTAAATTTTCTGATTAATTCCATAATGTTTTTGGTTGAACCCTTTATTTATCTAAGTAGATCATTCTATCATTTGCAAATAGCCATAAGTTTGTCTTCTCTAACAGTCCTCTTATTTCTGATTCATATATTATTATATTTGCCAAAACTTCTAGGAGAACATTAAATGATAATCTTGATAATGGTCATCTTTGTTTTGTTCCTGATTTTAGTGAGGATGCCTCCAATGTTTCATAATTCAGTAGGATTCCTTCTGTTGATATGACAGATAATTTTATCATGTTAAGGATACTGCTTTTTGTTACTGGTTAGCAAAGAGTTTTGAAAGGTTTGGAATCACTGTTGAATTTTATCAGATCCTTTTTATCCAAAATTATTATTGATTTTTTAAAGATTTACTTATTTATGTTAGGGGGAAGGGGCAGAGGGAGAGAGACAGAGAGAGAGAATCTCAAGCAAACTCCACGCTGAGCACGGAGCCCCACGTGGGGCTTGATCCCAGGACCCTGAGATCATGACCTGAGCCGAAACCAAGAGTCGGATGCTTAACAGACTGTGTGCCAACCAGGCGGCCCCTGTCCAAAATTATTTTTAATAAAGTTTTTGCACCTGTATCCTAGATTGTAATAGAAAATTCAACATTGAAGACTTTTGCAAGGAAATTAGATTGAAGGGCTAATAAATCAATGTTGGGGAGGAAGGAAAGACACGTGGCTCCTGAGTCAATCGTATATTCTATAGGACAAGGATGGGTATTGCACCTAGCATAGTAGGCACTCAATAAATAAATCCATAAATGTTTCCTCATTGAGATGAGGTCGGTTTAACATTCCACTTTTGCTGGATAAGCTCATCTACTTCAGTGAAATCAAATAAAGGGAATTTTTTTTAAAAAATGGGTGCTGCCCATGGATCTTGCCTAGGACAGCAATAATGTTTTGGGGGCCGCTGAGTATGGGAAAATATTTAAGAAATGCGATATAAATTTCACTGTCTTGTAAATACATAACAAATTTTTAAGTGTACATATAAAAGATATTTCTTTTCCTTAAGAATATATGGTTGAGTAATGGTTTGGGAAGTTGTACTGGGGAAAGAGCCCTGAACAACATGGAGGTTAGAGGTGCCAACTCCCAAGTGCAGTCAAAAATCCATGTATAACTTTGACTCACCCAAAACTTAACTACCAATAGCCTCCTGTTCAAAGCCTTACTGATAACCCAGTCGATATGTTACACTTTGCATGTTTTATGTTTTATATACTTTATTCCTATAATAAAGTAAGCTATAAGAAAGAAAATATTACTAGGAAAATCATAAGGAAGAGAAAAATACATTTATAGTACTTGATTTATCATAAAACAAATCCACATATGAGTAGACCGGCACAGTTCAAAGCTGTGTTGTTCAAGGATCAACTGCAATTTATTTTTCCAAGAATACTTTTCAAGTGATATGCTCTTGAATTCAGACTGATTTGTATATTGGAATTATCAAATTTTTTATCCAATAAGGCAAAGAATCTTGCCAGGTTTGCTTTTTATTTGACTCTGGCCTCATTAATAACTTATTTTAGACAATTCAGATGAAACCTATTCATCTGTCTACATCAAACATAAATACAATATAAATGATATATACGATTTGCCTATATCAAAAAGAGGAGGAGAAATTTTATATTATTTGGGGAGGAATACTTGCATTCTTGGTTATTAATGGGTTCTTACACGGTTCTTTTAAGGTTTTTATAAAGAACCTTAAAATATACAAATAATCAACGACCTTTTCTTTGTCCAGAATCATTGAGCTCACTGTGTTGTACACAGTGCTGTGAAAAGAAAAACTGGTATTTCAAAATGAATGAAGAGATAATAAATGCTCAGGAGCAAAGATCTGTAAGACAACTACCTAATACAGAAAGCTTAACTCATAAGCTAAAAACACGAATCAGGGAAGACACTATGGATATGGTCATTGAGATTCTTTTGGATTTAACATTATGCTGAAAATCTTCATGTACATGTGAAAAAATAAACCAAAAACGTAGTATTTCTTTTTAGTAGGATCCAGGAAAATAAGCAAAGGAATGACTATTGCAGAAATTTTAGAATTTTAGAGGTGCCAAAGGGCTAAACTGTACAGTTTGTGGAATATAACCGTTTTCCTCTTTAAACATTACCCCTGTCACATTTTGGTCATTATTATCTGAAGCATACCATCCATTCCTTTTGAACATCTTTCTACAGGCTAAGTGTTCAATACTGAAGCCCAGTCTAAGCCAAGGATGCACAGATGGGTGGTTACAGCTGCAGTTCTTCTGACAGACTGCAAAAACCCGCTGGGACACTTTCCCCAGCTCTGTCTATCCATCTTGCGAGCTGGTGTAACTCCACCTTGCTCAGGGCTTTGTTGAGTGTGTCACAGGACTTTGGCCAAAATGTACCATCCGAAAGGGTCTTATTAATGGAATGAAAAATGGACTCCCCAAACACACACACACACACACACACACAGATCACATGTGTCTCCTGAAATGACTGACAATTCTAATCAAAAAGAACATTAGAATAGTTTTTGTTTTTTTTTTAACCCTCAGAAATAGTGTATTCAGACTCTCTTCAGCAGGGTGAATGAGTCAAGTTACTCAATAGGATCCATTCAGACTGATTAAATTGGAGCCAAGCCAAAACAGATCTTCAAGATCTGAGAGATAGTGGTCATTGAGCCAGGAAGAGGGAAACAGCATCAGCTGAGAATGTACAGACCACAATACTGATGGGAAATAATAAATTGGCCAGTCCAAAGGCTAGCATGGAAATTTATAATAATGAAAGTTCTAGGCCTAAATCATCACAACCCCCTTTATTTAAAACATGTGATAATTAATCTGGGACAGCTGCTTACTACACCAGAAAAGTCCATTTAAAGATTTTAATTAGGAATAGACTAAAGTTTCTACACTGAATTGATATTTACTTCTCAGTTATCACACCTACCTTCCAAAAATGATCTGAGATGGTTCACAAACATATATTAAATGCACACATGCATATACAAACACATGCAAATTTCAGGCCATAAAAGAAAAACACAGGAACAAGAAACAACAGGGGTTAAAGAAGAGAAGTCGTGAAGGCAAAAACCTAGGCTGAGGTATTTACTGAGGTTAAGAATTAAATTTATTGCGGAGTTTCTTGCAAGCCAAGGCAAAAAGGGACAACATACTGTATGCTTCTTATGATCTGCTGGAACGAAGAATACCACCTTTTAGGAATAAAACGTTCTCTTATCATGCCTTCTGAAAAGAACCAATCAGTCTTCAAGATTCTATCGACAATTTTAAGGCTGCACAATTCCCGACCTAGATTGCCAAAGATGATGAAATCAGACTTGATAAATAATGAGACAGCACAAGCCATTCCTAAACTAAACAAAAAAAGGGAAAACCAAATGAACAAATGTTTCCAAACACTTAAAAGTTAGAAGCAACCCAAAATAAAAATTGAAACCAGCGGCAAATAAAGTCAACCTAAATCTCAGCAAACCAGAATCACAAAACCCTGTCACTGCAGGCTTGAGAATAAATACTGCTTGTCACTCAAAGTGTCTGTCTATGGCATATGGGTAAAGGTTTCAGTCTGCTATCTCCAGACTCATCTTATGGCACTGGTTCAACACCAGTGAATGGTGCTTTAAACAAAAGGAGAGCTCATTCAAAATGGGCGTTTGTGAGTTACTGGTCAGTGTAGCTGTGCGGTTTGTCTGAGCGAAAACTATTGGCATGGGAGAAATGAAGTGCAGCTCCCAGGCTTTGGAGTTTCCTAAGCACTGAAAAGCAGCCGGGAGGTTAAAGCTGGCTGGTCGGAATGGCATACTTGGCTGAATGCACAGCCAGGTGGCTTGGGCATATTGGCAAACAACTGGCAACCTGCCCAATACATATGGCTTAGATTGCTTTGCTCTTCCCATGAAGCCTTCTTAGACTCTTGAGCAAGCATTCATTTTAGAACAAAATGAATGTGAGTGTTAAATAAAATCTTTTAATAATATCTGTCTGATGTAAAATCATTTTACCAAAAATAAAAATAAAAAGATGGGAGGGGGGTAGTTGCCAAATGCCTAAATTAAGCCTTTCCTTTTTTGGGGGGAAGACTTTGCAGATCCCTTCTTAACTGTCTTTGGACTCCATTATTTGGAACTTTCAGTTTCACAAGGGTGAAAATGACCCCTTCCCATCCCTGGGAAGAAGGGTTCACGTGCGGAGTACGGGAGGCTGCCAAGAGGTCAGGTGGCCATGGATTCTTAATGAATACATAAAAAATACAAAATAAGTAGGGTAACTAATGGAAATGAACACCAGATACATTTTATCAAGGAACATTATTAAATCTTGATTGACAGATAACACTAAAAGGTGTTAGTATGGTCTATCATGTAAATACATATCTGGAGACTTGTTAAAACAGTCTCTAAGTGCTAACTGTTGAGGCACATGTTACTCTCCAGGCTTTACCAAGTGGCTGCCTAATGTCAATAGCATGAGGCAAACTTGAGGTTTAATAACCCCAGCTGGTCACTAATCTTCCTGTGACACTACTAGAGAACCACATTAAATATGCCACAAATACTTTTTTCCTGCTGGAGTTGGATTCTCTTCTGTCACACATGTTTGCTGGAGCCCAACATTTCATTTTAGTTTACTGGGTATCTTAAAAGTATTAACAACTGATACATTTGCTAATTAGATTATACGAATTATTATCAAGGTCTTGTTTCATTTATAATAATGTTTGAATGTATGCTTATGGTCTCCTAAAATTGCAAGTCATTTATCTAATAAACTGTTAAATCCTCTGGAATTAGTATAGTATACTTGATAAGCAGATTATAGAGTTGGTGTTGTATATATGGTTGGTTTCGTGTGTGTACGTGTGTGTGTGTGTGTGTGTGTGTTTTAAAGATTGTTTAGCTTGGTAACAGCTCAAACACTGACATAAACTCATCTCTCATACTGGTGAGGGCCTTGGACATAAACAAATCTAAAATCTTTTAGATAGATGCAAACATATATATTATGATATAAAAAAAATCACTGGTGCTTATTCAGCAAATACTGAAGATGAGGCAGTCTAGATGAGGACAGCAAACCTCTTTTTGGTGATAAAAAAACAGAACAAAACAGAATTTCCAGCTATAGTTGCTCCTTGTCTTTCCCACCTAAAAAGGTACCAAGTACCTAAAAATTCATATCATGGTTTTACATTGAATATTTACTGAGTTTTAGGTTAAAATCTTCAAGTCAATTTCCTTCTCATGGACTTTTTTTTTTTTCCCAAAAAATAAAAATAAAAAATAAATAAAGGTGATAAAAACATTTTTTGAGGAATGGGACAAATTAAAGCACAAGTGTTTAATGGATTCCTATGTCATGAATCCTGAAAATAATGTTTTTAAAAAGTCTCTTTCTTGGTAGGCATAACAATAAGGGGGCTTCATTAACAAATCTTTGCAATCCTCGAAATTATGGGGTGAAAGGAAAGGAGAACCTTTAAAAATGGATTTGAGAATCCTGTGAAATGACCTCCGTGGCATCATACTGTCACCACCCCTACCCTCTCCTCTTGATCAGCAAGTAGTACCACTTAGAGCTTTATTAGAACATCTCGTTGCCAACTTGGAACAGCTCCAGGCAAATCTGTCTTCCAAGGACACAGTCTGAAGTACTTAAAGTAAATTGCAATGGACTGGGTGAGTAGCAAAGGTGGGGCCCCTGAATCCAGCAGCATTGCTTCTGAGATGGAAGGCCCCCTCCAGGGGGCACTTGGTACCCAAACGGAGGCTGGAAGATAGTCATTTTTAAGGGCTCCTGCCGAAAAGAAGGGTCAGCAGGAAGATAATTTTTATACCAAAAGGGCCTGAAATCCTGGGTTTCTTCACTTAAATGCAGAGAAAAGGTGAAAGGCATAATTTCGCAAAGTGTGTTTTGGGGGAGTAACAAGGGTCACAAGCAAAAAGGGTTCTGCTGATAGATAAATTTAGGAACTGCTAGGTTAAACTAAGTTCTCAGAACTTTTAATATATTAATGTGCACTGTGACTCTTCAAGAGGGACAACAATATGCATTTATATTTTAAAAGTATTTCACACACACACACACACACACACACACAATCCCTTTTTCCATAGAACATGTCATAAGATGCAGATATTGAAAAATGGATTTTGGTTGGTATAAATTTGAGGTTTTTAATTGGAATAAGTATATTTTCTTTTACTAAAAACCTATTTTACTTACATTTATTAAGTGAAATTGTTTAAAATTAAATTGAAAAGCTGAATTCAAGATAATAAACTAATTTAAACATTTTTAAACTAATTGAAGTTCTTTAATAATTCCCCTATTTTAAGTACATCATCTAACTAATCTTAACTGTTTTATACCTCAAAAAATAAAATGCCATTCTAGCAGCAGGAAAAATCCCTCCACCTCCCCACTAACACTCCAACTCAAGACTTTCTCTTCATATTAGGCAAGAACCATCTGGTAATTTGTAAGTGGAGAGGCCAGTTTTCAAACAGGCTGGTTTCTGAATATGGGCTTTAAATTATTTATAACAAAATTTAAGGTTAATGTTCCTGGAAGGTTCCTCTGATAAAGGTTTAGTTGATATCCTCAGAAAACCTCAGAGTAAATGTTAATAGAGTTTAGCATCCCTGATTCCCTTGATTTTGACCACAGAGTTGTCTGATAAAAAATGTAAATATGAATGAACAGAAATACAGAGGAAGGGTGGGGGATAACAACCATCATTTTAAATAAAACTACTGCTCACCACCAAATAAGAAATCCACACTCTCAGACACACAATCAGATTAAAAAAAAAATTACAACAATTCTGACGTTATGTGTAATCTTAAAAAAAAACAGTCAAAAAGTGATTATAGAGACTTTTTAAAAATACAATTTGAAATGTTGATCATACATTCTAAAAATAAGTTAAATTTCATGGAGCTTCCAAGCAAACAATCTCATTTTATATTCTCAATTCCCACAAACTTAAAAAAGTGTAAGCTTGCAACTGGCCAAAATTCAAATTGTGTTTCCTTACAGAAGTAGGGGAGAGACTCTTCTGCTTATGGCTGCACTGGGTTCCTTGCATAAAAGCTACTTTTTAAAAAGTGATACAAGAATCTGCCTGGATCACATCACACTTTCTTGGTAAACATTTGTTTCTGTTTTATTTTTGCTTCTGGACTCTGCCTATTTCCTGCCCAAAGTCTCACCTAATGGTAACAGAAGATTTATTTCTTGGTTCAAACGCCTCATGAAAATGTCCTTTCAATAGTGTAATTTTATTTAACTTAATTAAAAAAAAAACTGCAGTTAAAAATTCCAGTTAAAAAGAAAAATCAAACAGTTCTAAAAATAAACAATATTTGGTTAAACAAATACACAGATTTAAAGCATATGGGTAAAAATGAATGTTAGTATAAACATACGGCGACATTTTTTTCCCTTCAAAAAATCTCAGAAAAGAAACACTCCCCCCCCCAAAATAAAGTTATTTTGGTTTAAATTATAAAGCCATTTTTAATAAGTTATCTTTTTTACTCAAGAAAAAACATTTGTATAGCCTCAGAAATCTGTTTCATTTCAGTCTTTGTGTAAAACTGCCCATGAGAAGTATATTTATAAAAGAAATACCAGACTGCGAATTATTTATGTCATTGTAGCACGTATACAGTAAATGAGGGCTCACTGGAGATCGATGTATCTTACATACATAGAGGTTGAATTCTGTCCCAAAACTTATTCTAAAAGTTTTCTTTTCTAATTGAATCAGATTTTAAAGTCTCAAAAAGCATTATTTCAACATAACAACACTGTATTACCCACACTTTGGCAAAACAGAATCTAGCTTTTTACCAGATGTGCCACCAACTCTAAAAACCTACCCTGAAAGTTAGTTACGTTTTAAAATGCACTGCTCTTGGACTGGGGATCAGTTCTCAACTATCCAAGTTAAAGGAAGGCTATGAGGACTCAAATCTTAAGCTTCTGGTAACATTCACCCCAAAATGGGAAACTAGAGCTGTATGAATCTGCAATTCACAGATGTTTCAAGAACAAAAACAAACAGGTTGAAAACATACTAATGAGGAGAAAAGCCAAGGTATATAGAACCCCAGCTGCGAGACTCTTGAGAGTGTACTGGAAACCTTAGGAACAAAACGCAAATTACTTCACTTTCTTTGCAATCTGACACTCTTGGTTTTATATTTAATATTTTACATCATTGCTCTGTTCGAGAGTGTTCTTTGAAGGTGTTGCTTATGCCAACGAAATTGAAAAGATATGTAAAGAAGAAACACGTGAAACTTTTAAACTTCTCTGTAACGAGAAAAGAGCCCATACTATCAATTTCTAGAGTGAAAATTAAACAAGTAGATCATTTTTTAAAACTTCTTACAGTGATGGTGTTTGATATGACTTTCAAAAAAGTATCTTGTTTTAGGAAAAATTTTGAATAAAAATGTTGTACTGAGTTCAGAGTGCTTTTGAAGCCCAAAGACCAACTGTTCAGTTTTAACAAACCAACAATGTCTGTTCATTTTGCCCAAATCTTTCCAGCTTAAATATTCACAATGTGCCATTATTACTGAATCATTATCTGCCTTTAGCTCTGACAACAGCATCATACGGGCTATGAAAGGCTCCTTTCTTCTCATGATTAGGCCCTAAAACATTTCCTCATCTTACAGTGCCTTTCGACTTCCCAGAATGCATTGCTCACAGTGCTGAAATTAACTGTATGCCACTTATTTATCGAGAAAAGAATAATCAAGTACTCCAAACCATGTCATGGGTCGCCCACAATTTTATATCAAATTTCAAGTAATAAAAATATTAACCCTTTCTGGATGCTAATTTTTAAAATCTCCTGTTTCTCTTTACTTTTTAGGCTGTGTCTCACAAAAAAAATCAAGTCTGGATTTCTGATGTCCTCTATAATACATAGCTTTCACAATGAATTCTAAGTGTCCACGGAAGGGCTAGTCTTAAAGACCTATCTGAATGTTTAAAAGTAAGTTTTTATCAGAGCCCTCTTCAAACTTAAATTCCTCTCTTCTTTGCCTAGGGAAAGTAGGATTTCCTTCCACTTCTAGAAATGCGCAGTGTGAAACTGCGGCAAATTATCTTCAGAAAGCAGGAAAGAGAAAGAAATAAAAGCCCCGAGATTAAAACATAGAAATGTTCCAATTCCAGAGTAATTTTGTTTATACCACTAGATAGCACTTCGTCCTCAATAATAATCGTAATCTTTATTAAACAGAGAACGTGAGTAATCTTTTTACATATGCTCTTCAAATAAGTGTGATTCCAATAGGTATTATTTTACAACACGACAATATAAATTAAATTGGCCAATCTTCAAATATTATTAAATTGATTATTTTTATATTTTGGGGAAGCTATATTCCAAGTACTTGGTGAATTTAAAAATGGATTACATACCAAATACTAGTTACAATATTATTAAAGGATATGCATTGGGTAAAAAAAACAGAAAGCAAAGAAAATAAGGAAAAAACTATGATTGTACTCACATTGCAAATACTTGTATGAAAAGGGATGGGGATATTTAACACATGTGGATTTGTATTTATTTGTTTTATACCTTCAGCCAGCAGAAGAATGTAAATAAAAACACTTTTTAAACCTCAAAGATACTTACTAACCCATGCATACATTAATCATTCATACTGCATGATTATTGTTCAGTATTTTCTGCAATAACAAATTGGAGGGTGTGGGGGTTATTGTGGGTTTCAGCAAACCACATTCTATTTAGGCAAAGCCAAGTATTAAAGAAAGGCCTAACTTGCCAAACCAAGATAAATACATGCCATTATTATGATTACATAAAAGCCACTGTTCTCAGCGTTACAATTTCTCTTATAATTGGCACTATTATAATTAAATGGATTCATATGTTTACAATTCTTCTTTGAATTGTTAAGTGATTTAGCAATGATAGTGTCTCTAATTTCTTTTAACTATACTGACAGACTTCACTAAATACCGCATTGCCACAATAAATTAGGTAAATACCCAGTAAGGCCTGAATTGCTATTGAGTTTAAGTATGTTATAATAAGGTAGCAAGTAACTTCTCCAAAGCCTGCTGCTAGACTAGCCCACAAACCCACAAATTGGAGGGGACAGGGTAAAGTATTCCAATGGCATTTAAGATATTCTATGAGGGATAGAGAGGCATGGGGCAGGGAAAAACAAACACATACAGTTAAAGCCTCATAGATTTTGAAAACAAACAGGAAGTAAAAGATTATTTTAAAAATATAAACACAGTTATTATGAATTTTGTGGTCCCTCTTCTTCCCTAAGACCCAAGAAATTCTTCACATCTCAGCAGGGAAACAGTGGCATAAACATACTCCCATATTATTGATGGAAAATGCCAATGGAATATACCCTAGTTTACCTGCTGTCCTGAAACGGACCCTATTATACTTTATTCTATTCGTGAAAATAATATGAGATCATTGGTAGTTCCTTAAATATAAGATAACCATAAAAACTAGATTATTCATGCAACACATCTAAACCATATAGCTAATAAATGTTTTAAAACTGCTTTAAAATAATTGAGGTTAGTAGTATGAAAAATAATTTTTACAAAGTGTGCAAACAATACGAAAGTATAAAAGGCAAGAATTTGACCAATTCCATACCACTCAGTTTTGTCTTAAAAAAACCCCTTCAATCACAAGTAAATATTGCTTTTTTATAAAGATGACCTATAAACACAAAATTGGGATTGTGCTCTGTTGATATTAATTGCCATGTTAGTTACAACAGCAAAACCTGCAAACAAACTCAGCCTCCAATGAAGAACTAATTTCACAAATAAAGGTCTATCTATATTACAAAATATAATGCAGCCATTAAACACAATGCTGTGGGGAAATGTATGATGACAGGAAAAGGTGTTTGTGGTACAGCATTACATTTTTAAGAAGGATTTTTTAAAAAACACACATATATCTGGAAGGCTAAACCCCCAAATAGCAAAATTTTAATAATGGTTTTCCCTAGTTGATCTTTACTTTCTTTTCCCCTACGTGATTTCATTTTCTTCTCTTTACTGGATATATGATGCAAATTATGATGATGGCAGATAAATCTTGTAATAATAAACAGAAGTAAGTTTTTGTTTTTTAAAAAGATACCATGATACAAGGCATTTGTGCCCTAGGCATTTAAATCACTCCTATCAAATTCAATCCTAATAGTAGATGCATTTTAGAAACGTTTGTAAGTTTTTGGTGTGTGTTAGTGCTCATCACTACTTACTAAATTGTGCTACATTTCTAAAAGCAACAAGGAAGAAAAGTTCAGAGACACAGTAAACACAAACTATTATTAGATTACTACCACGAAATTCTCTTACAGAAAAATTAAGTAAAAAATTACTCTTAAAATTTAAAAACTGTCAAGAAGTAGACTGAGAGCCATAAAGCTTATGTTACTTTGTTCAAGGATACATAATTTAGTTAACACACCTAGTTGAAAAGGATATGATTATTGGGCTCAGTTCATAAGAAGCAAGTGAAGTGAGTCTTACTAGGTAAAAATTGAAAATAAAATATAATGGACATGCAGAATTAAGACAAAATTGGCTTTTTCACTTTTACATTCTTTGACATTCTAAATGATGAATGAGAACAAGTTTCAATGGAGACACCAAATTTCCAGCCAAAATGAAATATCCCCTAAAAATTCAAAATCCTTCGAAAAATCTCCTAAAGATGGTTTTAGAAAAACAGCAATTCTACTACACACACTTTATAATGCACATTAGATGTGAAACTGTGGGGGATCATGTGGTCAGGAAATAGAATGCCCAGACTTGTATTTCTATTTGATATTCATCATTTTTGATGCTTGAACACTGACAAAATTACTGAATTTACTTGTTCTCTCTCACCTCTTCCTCTATACAAAATACAGCTAATAATTCTAAAACAATGTCCAGATGTGTACTTTTTTTTTTTAAAAGATTTTATTTATTTGACAGAGAGAGACACAGCAAGAGAGGGAACACAAGCAGGAGGAGTGGGAGAGGGAGAAGCAGGCTTCCCACTGAGCAGAGAGCCCGATGTGGGGCTCAATCCCAGGGCCCTGGGATCATGACCTGAGCCGAAGGCAGACGCCCAACGACTGAGCCACCCAGGTGCCCCTAGATATGTACTCTTAAAAGCAATGAACTAATACTTGGAACACAGAACAGTATCCTAGGCCATAATAGTTGTTCAATACTTATACGCCGGATAAATAAAGTGAGTGAATGAAGTTTGAGGGCAAGTTTACAGAAACCATAAAAAATGCACAATAGATGAAAAGAATTCCACCAGACATCTGAATTGTGCTCAGAACAAAAGTAACCAGGTAACCACTAAAACTGACTTTGCAGAGGTACCAGGACTGACTATATTATTAACAATGTTTCAAATACAATAGACATAAACAATCCCAGGTACAAAAGGGATTTTTCAGGAGATGTCCAGTAAGGCTGACAAGTCTAATCAAGGCAAATACAATCTTATGTCCAACTCACAAGTCTTGATAATTTCAAGCTATGTACATGATGGATCAGTTCAATGACAAACTAAGAATTTGCTAAATATCTATATTAAAGATTTTCTCAAACTGGCCAGTGTCCAAATATTTGGAAGTACGTGTTATTCCTAATTTTCCCAGCTGTAACTGGGACACTTCACAGCAAAAGACTTCTTGCTGTGGGTTTTCTAACCCATCTGAATCTTCCATAGATTATCTACACCCCCCCTCCACTCCCATCGAGGGGATGAAGGACAAGTGGAGCTAATCTGTTTGGCAATGGCAGTCTGTTAAAATTTTTTTTTTTTTTTTTTCATATTCTTTTTTTTTTTTAAAGATTTTTTTTTTTTTTTTTTTTAATTTATTTGAGACAGAGAGAATGAGAGACAGAGAGCATGAGAGGGAGGAGGGTCAGAGGGAGAAGCAGACTCCCTGCCGAGCAGGGAGCCCAATGTGGGACTCGATCCCGGGACTCCAGGATCATGACCTGAGCCGAAGGCAGTCGCTTAACCAACTGAGCCACCCAGGCGCCCGGCAGTCTGTTAAAATTAAACAATCAACCAATCAATCCCAAAAAAACTGAGGCTCATGCTTTAAGGTATATTCCACACACCACGATTCATGAAATGATCATTTTGACATCACATCCTTTTAGTGCTTAAAAAAAAAAAAAAAAAAAAAAAACTCTAATATCTTTCACACATAGTATAAAAACATAGCATTATTATTATGTCATTATAGGCACATATTTTAGAAATTATATGTAAGGTGAACAGCAGAATTAGTTGTCCATCCCTGGTTTGGGTCTTCCACAGTGTCATGGCAAATCGTGCCTTAGTTTCTCATTCCTGAGTGTGCTAAGGAGTTTCTGTGAGCTTGAGGTTCATAAAGACCCAGTTTCCATTAGTATAAAACATATAACAATAAATCTCCCAACAGATATCAATAGCAATATGTATATTCTTGGACCAAAAAATGCAAACAGAAGGTTATCATTAGAGTCAATATTAAACTTTTAGAGTCCCGTATCTCTTTTGGAAACGATGAAAGCCATGGCCCCTCTTCCCAAGAAAACACATACACTCACAAACATAAACCACTTTGCGTAACACTTCAGGGAGTTCTCAGATATTCTGAACTCAGTACACAAATGGAGGTAAAGAAGCCCCATTTCAGTTAGAAGGCTCCCCAATGAGCTTATAAACATATCTTAAAATTGTAAAATGTTCAGAGGGGCAGAGGCAAAGTAAGACTCCAAATGTGCTACAAAAAATGAGTGGTCCCTTAATTACAGAATATGTATCTGGATATTTAGATATGTGTCTTTTTGTTTTAATTACTTAGCAACAATGAAGTAAATAAGTTTGGCAAATGCTACTCAAGTAATGAAATCCATAAACATCCCCACCAGCTTTCTCCTTAAGCTTTTGCTGAACAAGAAGGAAACCAACGCTTATTAATATCTTCTATGTGCCAGTGACTGTGTTAAACACTTTCAGACATTACCTCATTTCTTCTTAGTAACAATGCCAGAATATAGATATTATCATTACCCTTTGTAGAGTTTGAAGAAATTGAGGCTAACAGATAATACAAAGCATGCCTGAAGTCCCAAAGTTCTTAAGTGGCAGAGTTCGGACTGAACACAATGTCTGATCCTAAGCCTTTATTCTGTTACATTTCTGAGTTTATAAACCACTGAAGGCAGGTTTGTTCTAATCTAATGCTATTTCAGTGAGCCTGAGAAACCTTTCCTCTCCAAAATAAAGGTTAGTCATGTATGGGGTTGTGGGGCAAATATTTCATATCCTCCTTTGACCTATGTCTCCAAAGTTCTATTTCCCAATCTTGAGCTTTTCCCAGCAAGATTCAGCTCAGGTCCTGTGGGACTATCCCTTCCTGATTTTAGCTCTGTCATGGATTATTAACCAAAACGTGTACTCCAGAACAGCTCTAAAAACACAGCTAAAAGAAAGTTAACGAGAAAAAAATATATAGATCACCTGTTCTAACCATAAATTTTATAATGACTTATAGTTCTCTTCCAGGCATAATTATGCATATTAATAGAGTTCATACAATAGATACAAGCTACTTCAAAGTTTAATCAACCTCCTTTCTAGAGAATATATACACAATTAAACAAAATAGGACAGTAAAGATTATTGCTACACAGATACCAGAGATAGTACATGAATAATTATACCAAACAGTTGTCTCAGAAGCAATTACTTTGCCTGAGCAATCAATCATGTCTTGTTGAATCGATCAGTTTTTTAAAACCTAAACTGAGTATCCAATTCAGCTGAAACGGCGAGACTTTTTCAAGTTTCAAGAGCCAACTGGAACAACTTCTTTGTTCCGCCATGACATTCTATGTACTCCTGGTCACTAGAATAAGAAGTAGATGCCTTTCTTTGAAAGTCTTATATTCACCTTAATTTTTTTTTTTTAACTTGGAGGTTGCGGGTGTGGTAGGAAAAAAACCTGGAATCCACAGTACTGAATTTGGCATCCCAAGAAATTAAAGGCTATGAGGTTATGTAGATGCATCTTTTTCCCAGAAAAGATTATAGGATGACAGCACTGGATTATTACCCAAACCTCAGAGCCCTTCTAGAAATGAGGGCTATGTATCACCAAGAACTGCATACAGTGATGCTCACTAAAGGCCTAAAGGCTGATGAAGTGAATGGACAATGAAACAAGAAGGTTTAATGGTGCCAAATAGCACTATTAGAGTGCATCAGCCTGTGCAAAGTTTATGACCATCAGTATTTCTCCTTGCACTTGGCAACACCAGCACTCTGGGGGGATTATCAGATTCTCAGTTAAATAAGCAATCAAGTATAGCAAAGGGTCCAGTTAACCAAAGCAAGGAACATATGTGATGACCACATGCGCCTAAGTCCTCATGTCCTCCTGTTTAGTCTACCTGTTCGGTGTGGGAATGCGCCTGGCCAAGCAGAGGGCAGAATCTGATTCTGAGTCACATGGAAAAGGGACGGACAAGTCGTGAAATACTTCAGATCATCATGATCCTGAAATAAGGTAATAAATAGCTAGTTTGTAGTCACCTGATTTGCACAGGCAATATAAAAAAAGAAGTCATTTATAGGTCAGGTATTATCATCCTCATTCAATTATAGCTTGATAGAAGGAGAGTTGGTTCATCTCGCCTACTTGAGAAAGCTACACTTCTACAATGACAGTGAGGTGTACTTTAAAAGCCTGCTACATTCAGTGGTCGTTATTGGAAAGGACCTTCTACTGATCAGCTACAGAGGAATTGAATTTTTATCAGTGGGGTTGTCTTCTGATTTCTGATCTAGTTTTTGATGTGTTACCTCATTCTAAATGTATCTATTGATGTCTCCTAAAGAAAAGTTATGGTCTTTTGTCTTCAACAGTGAGTGACTTTAATGCTTTTGTTTTTAGGACAGGAAAATTTGGAACATGCTTATCAAAAATTTATAGCATTGCACAATCATTAGTTGCAGGGACATGGCCCCATTAGAATTTCCCAGCTGTGTTACAAATAACGGAAACATTCGTATGTGATAGAAAAGATTTCATACCTCAAATAACAGTAAAATCATTTTTAGAAGTTTGGCAATGTGGAAGAATCTATCAAACGTACTTTGTAATTCTCTTCAGTAAAAACACATTTTAAAGCAATGCTACAAATTCTGTCTAGATACAATTTTTCTCAATTTTTAAACAAATTTACTCACTGAAAAACACTGAATTTTAATAAATTTATCACTGCAGGCCGTGTCTTCTGCTGAAGACTCCAGACATGTCATAGTACTATCCAGTGTTAGGAAAGAGGAAAAGTATGTCTCTTAATATTTGCAGTGCTTTGCAAACTTTATGATAATAATATAGAAGTTAAATCTTAAGGAGCTAAGAAAGTTTATAGGAGTTTAGGCCGATTTCACAAATGTGCTGATTTTAGCAAGCAAAGTATATAACTTGGGTGCCATTTCCTGAAGTATTAAATAAAATACGCATTTATAAAACTTCTTCAGCTCTGCTAGAATGTCAAATATGAGATAATAAAAGACAGGGAAGTCCCCAGAAAGCTAGGCTTAGCAACACTAAGTTGTCACGGGTGACAATGCGGGATCTGGGGACAGAGATCATGTCATATGCCCAGATTCAGCAGTAATCTCTTAAATTCTCAGAGCCTCAATTTTATCACCTGTAAAATGGAATATGACGCTGGTGATAATGGTAACGGTAAAAATGGTAAAAATACTAATAACAGCTTATTTTCCTCAGTGAGCAATTATAATGCTCAGATAAGATATGTGAGCCAGTTTGTAAGCTGTTAACTGAGATGCAAATGGAACTTATTATTAGCCCAACTTCTAACTTCCATCAGCCACACACCACTCCCTGGCTCCTGGTCCCGATTCCCATCTGAGATCCTACACAAGATATTAGCATAACTCTTACTTTCCAGGATTTTTTTTTTTTTTTACTTGCAAAGCTAAGGGTGGGGCTCCATTTAACTCAAGTGGTTCAATCCAAACCGGAAAAGCAACTTCCAGCAAGAAATATCCTGATCAACTCTAGTAGAATACAGGAGAGAGCCCCACTTCTGACCACGAGGTAGAATTCTCTCTCTCTGATGCCATCCACAAATTTTTATCCTTTAATCACCTGTCCACTAGGCCCAGGTGGAGTCACGAAATGATGCCCTCCACACACCTGGAAGAAAAAAGCCCAATCATGGCAGACCACCTGCAGGCTGAGGTTTGATTGGGAGCACCTCCAAACTCCCATATTTCCAACGAAATGCAGTGGTGCTATCTTCTAAGTCAGGCAGGTCAGTAGTCTGATTCTTACTTTTCCAGCCTACATCCTTCCCTGCTCGAGTCGTGAAACATCTAATCAGAGCCCTACCCATGCCTGATGCGTCAGCAGGCCTTACACTGTTTGACTGGCGGGGGCGGGGGACATCATCCGTGTGCAGTGTGAAAGGGCAGGGGCAGCTGCGAGAAGTTGAGCAATGTGCACTCTGACCATATTTCAAGCCACCCAAATTGCGAAGTTGTTGGTAAATGCTAAAGGGAAAAGTGGATTTTACAGCCCCTTTAGGAAACCCTGATGTCCCTTCCAAGAAACTATACTCTAGCAATAATAAATATTCAGCATACAGTTATTTGGTATCAAGGGCATTTTATCCAAGGAAAACAGTAAGATAAGATCACCACAGAGCTGAGGTCCTTCTGACTCAGGTTCAGTGTGGGTAGAAAACAATGCCCAGGTGACAGTGAAGATTTAAATGACACATCATCAACTTGAGATGGAAATGGAAAAAGGAAAAAAAAAACCACAGGCCCATTATGAACAAGGTTATGTACACCAGCTCATCCTTGGAGGTCTGGATTTGCAGTCTGTCCCACGTGAACACCTATCTTCACAACCTTTCTCTCCTGTTGACATTGACACATTCACACGTAGTCTGAGGCAGGCAGGCTGGGCCTCTAACTAAAATGGTCTCTGAGTCTGGAGCATCGGAGCTGACACCTGAGTGGACTCAAATATCAACTGACCACCTGAAATTTCTAAGGGTCTGCATCAAAATATGTGAAATGGCTGGAGGAACCAGAAGCATTCTGACATGCAATAAATATCTGCATACAGCCACACTCACACCATGTTAAATTTAAAATTTCATTATTGTTATTCTCGAGGTTATGCTTTCTTGATTTTTGTCTATCTTTACCTTCTTTTGCACTCACTGAAACTGATCTAACTCTCCGATACCAGAGAGCATGGCAAAGTCAGGGAAAATACTGGAATGGGGGAAACCATCAGGGAAGAGCCATGGCGAGCCTCCCCAGCCTCTGCCAGGTCACCAATGGTGAGTGGGCCACAGTGTGAAGACAGCCAGGGAAAACTGCACACTTGAGGAAAAAGCTAATGCAGCTGCCAAATTGAAAATAAGTATGGTCGACTTTCAATTATCCCAAGTGGCTTAACCACACGGCTTCAGTCTTCCCACTGCCCAACCTCAGTCTGGGCTGCGACCCAGGCACTGAGCAGGGTGGGGGTCTGCAAGTCTGAATGGAGTGTCTGTGTCTGAAGGTGTGGTCCCAACTCTACGGAATTGTGAATTTTCTTTCATGAACCAAGCTACAAAGTTCTCCTTTAACAATAGGGACAATCGCAATATATATGAATGGATATTGTTAACAAAAGCTATGTTACATACCTTCTCTCGAATGTTATATAAAACTACGTTCTGTAACACGACAGGCAGATGCTTAGTAGATGAAATAAGAAAACTATAAATTTTGTTCATTCATTCCTTCACTCATTCATGTACTCAAAAAGCTGTATTAGATCCTTACCACGTTACGTGTTAGACGCAGTCTCAGGCACTCAGGACATAGAGATGAGGACAATTCAGTTCCTCTCACAGGTTTCACAGTCCACACTGGGTATGAAACACTGAGAATTCAAAAATCATGCTTTCTAAATCTAAAACATCCTTTTAGACTAGTATTTCACTGTCCTTGAAGGAAATGTAATTTATTTGGCAGCTCTATAGGACAAGAAGCTTTGGTGTGTGTGTCTCAAAGGCGACAGATAAAAAAATTTTCACTGGGGTAAAAGGTGAAGTGTTAGCAGTAGGTGGAGTCTGTGTTGGATGTTCTACCTCACCTTGTGCCCTTAGGTGTCCCACTTTTGAAAACAAACTCCTATGTTAAAACCATCACCCCTCCTTTAAGTCTCTCACAACCAACACCCATTCTCCTACAAGATATCCAACAGTCCAATTTGCTCATTCAAATTCACACCCTAAGTGTGTATGATTAACAAGGACTAAAATCCCCACTGGGGCTTTCTCTTTTTAAAAAAAACAGGCCCCTTTTCCAAAAATCTCTACCTGATGGAATAAGTGGGGGAAAACATGCTTAGTTGAGGGGAATATTTCCTGGTGTCACTTACTTATTCTAGATATTTATGACCTACATTCTAAAAGAAATTAATTTAGGCTCTCAAAAAATTGGATTTGGGGCGCCGGGGTAGCTCAGAGGGTTAAGCGTCTGACTCTTGATTTCGGCTCAGGTCATGATGTCAGGGTTGGGAGATCGAAACCTGTGTTGGGCCCCACGCTGGGTATGGAGCCTGCTTAGGAGTCTCTTCCCTCTCCCTCTGCTCCTCACTGCAACCCCTGCTCGCACGGTCTCTCTTCCTCTAAAAAAAAAATTGGGTTTCTTCATTTGTAAAATGGGAATAATGGTAATAAGACTTCAAAGGTTGTTGAGCAAATTACATGAGATCATTCATCATGAAAGCATTTAGCTTGGTATCTTTATTTTAAAAAATAAGCTGTTACTATTTATCATCATTTAAATATTATTGCTGTTAAATAAATAGTAATTTGGCAATTTCTTCTTTAAAAAAAAAAAAGATTTTATTTTTAAGTAATCTCTACACCCACCGTGGGGCTTGAACTCACAAACCCAAGATCGAGTCACACGCTCTATCAACTGAGCCAGCTGGATGCCCCTTGGCAATTTATTCTAAACTGTAACTAACCGCTGATTCAAAGAGCGAGACAATCATGCAACCAAAATTTTCTCAATATTATTAAAGCTTCTCAATGACTGGGAAACACAATTTTATTGTACCACTGTAGGCTTCTCATCAAAAAATGGGTACTGTTTGTTTTTTAAGTTAACATATGCAATTTACTGCAAAGCCCTAGAATGTTCTAAGTATGGAGGCAGCATTCAGGAGAGGATATCTTCAGGCTCTAGGATGGGAGAGAGAGAGGGATTGTGAGTGTGAGTGTGCGTGTGTGCATGTGTGTGTGTGTTATGGGGTAAGTTTCTTAAAAGAAAGTCACAAATAACCAAGCACAATAATTCTGGGAGCCCAGTTTAGTGAAGAGGAAAAAAAAAAAAAACCTATCACTTAACCAGCCAGACACATGAACAACCAAAAAGTTCCTGAACTTATCCGTTTCAGTTCACTCAACCAGGGAAGTGGGAAGAAGGTTATACTAAGATACCAATAAGCCACAAAAGTGTACAAACTTCCTTCCTAATACAGCATACTCCTTGCAATTTATTTCCTTGCTTGAAATTTATTGCTATAAATACAGAGCATGAAAAATGTGAAATGATGCCAGTTCAGCCATCACTTTGGCCCCGATCCTTTGCTAAATTTATGCATCTCTCTAGCTTGTTTAAATGCCAAAGAGCTAGGCAAACTAGAAGAATATTATGCTCTTCCCTTCAGTAAAGAAGTCCACCTGAGCAATGCATGCAGATGGAGACAAGAAGCCCAGGGAAAAGGAATAACAACGTTCACTTTGCAGATGAGAATAACAGGTTTGAGGTGTCCAATCAGGAAGGATTATAATAAAATCATTTCTTAATACAATCTTTGGAAATCTTGCACATTTCCCAATGCTGTATCCATTCTTCCAGTCTTTGTACAATAATGGATATATATATATATATATATATATATATATACACACATACACATCCATGTACACACACACATATGTAACAGAATAAGGTATGATTCAGCAGGATAAAAGCCAGAGATGCTTGGGCCAAAGTAGAAAGCATCTATAAATAACGACAGAATTCAATAAAAAAAAAAATAGTTTTTCATGATTCAGGACTGTGATAGATGTTGCAAAAATTTGTATGTGCTACCAATTCTCAATTCTCTCATGTTTATGTGCCCCCCCTCCACATTTAAAGTTAATGATAATAACTTAAGCCCTAAAGAGAAATGTTCAGGGGGAAAAACTACATTCAAAACTTGGACTTGTGCAAACTAATCTTTTTTTCTGAATACAGGAACACCACAACACAGCACAACTGGGTTGTTTTCTTGCCCTTGTTACCTGCCACAGGGGCAAACAGTAGATTTCTTTTGAGTTTGCCCACCTTCCCTCTACAATCTTATTCCACAGGAGAAACCGCATTTCCCCCGGCAGAGAGGAGGGAGCCCTGGGCTGAGGAAACCAAAGGTAGTCTATCCTTCCCTGTGATTCTGTCATCCTTATTATCATGTCTATACACTTTGCCTGGCTACCATCAGTTTCTGTCCAACAACACCTGGCCTCAGCATGAGAAGGTCTTTGAGGTTCTTACATATATATTTATAATCATGAGTATCTACCATAGTGCTCTGTACAAATAGAAAAAGATCTGGAAGGAAATACATCAAGGTGTTAATGATAACTGTTTTTAGCTGATGGATTTCTCTTCCTTCTATTTTTCTATATTTTCCAAATGATCTATAATAAGCTCATATTACTTTTTATAATAGAAGTACTTAAAAATAAAGACATTAAATTTGAGCCTAGGTACATACTACACTCTCTACTTTGAAGGTTCCCTGATTCTTGCTCTCAAAGAGATTATATGGAAAAATAAATTTAAAAAAAAATGACTAACATACAAAAACCTTCTGGGGGAGAGAAAACTATTTAACCATAACTGATTAATGATGGATTCCAGAAGAGCGAATCTGGACACAAATAACTACTTGTATAGAATAAACAGGTTTCAGTTTCTCCAAAATCAAATATGTAAATTTGATAGACAATGCAACTCTCTCAAGAGAGAGCTATTTTCTCCTGAAAAAACAACTTTTACTTAATATCATTAGAATGCAGTATGTCAATTTCTGAAAAGAAAAGAAATACTTGCGTTTTTTTAGTTTCCAAGCTCTCTTAATTCAGGAATGCTTTGGAGTCCTTTACCCACGGCTACTCCAATGTAGCAGGAAATCCACCCCCTTCCTGGACAGCATTGGGAATGACTTCTTTATCTGGTCGTCTAATTAAAGGGGCTGTTATCATTATAAACCTCATTTAGTACTTTCTCCTAAACATCTCATAAAATAAGTAGCTTTCCACTGTCCACTACTAATCACCAAGAAACCAATCATATCGGAGCCCTTTTTAAAGTCTTAAATCTTCGACTCTAGACATGTTTATTAAAAATTTTACATCATATTCAATCATAAAACTTAATATGTATTTTATGAAAATGAACAATGGGAAGAAAAACCAGGGCAGCTCTGTTAATACAATAATAGCAAGCCACCTATTACGTGCTCTAGACCTTCCATGCAATGTCTTATTTAATCCTCCTACCAACCCTACTGCTATTATTTTATAGACAGCCAACTAGACCTTGGAAAGACTAACTAACTTGTCTAAGGTCACAAAGCACAGCTCCCACTCAGATCTTCTTGACTCCAAAGACCATGCTTCTCATATATCAAACCGCTTCCCTCTGAAAAAAAAAAAAAAGAGTGGGAGTTTGGGTCTTTTCAAAATTAAAACACAAAGCAAACAAGAAGACAGAAAATCCACCAGAATACTCTTTTCCTCTTCATACTTTTAAACCACTACCTATTTCTCCTTCCTTGGCTGAGCTCATTCTTAGTCTGGCATGAAGCAAGCTGCTCTCGGGCAGAAGAATGACAAGTTGGTCAGAATGTGCTTGCAGCAGGGTCTTCGGATGCAAGATCTTATTGGTGTATAAGAACAAGTTTGATCATAAGGTGGTGAATAAAAAAAGAGAAAGGGATGGTCAGTTGTAAGGAAAGCTTCAGAGGAGTGAAGTGGTCTCCCTCAGCTAACTATTAAAGAAAGGAAGCACTTGACCTGCTCCTGCCATACCACAGTTCTACTGAGAACGCTCACTTTTTAAAAAGAACTTCACACGCTGAAGATAGTGCCTTACCTTATCCTTTTACGAAAAGCAGAGTCAAAGGTGGGGTGGCTCAGTCATTTAAGTGTCTGCCTTTGGCTCAGGTCATGATCTCAGGGTCCTGGGATCGAGTCCCGCATCGGGCTCCCTGCTCAGTGGGGAACCTGCTTCTCCCTCTCCCTCTGCCCCTACCCCTGCTTGTGCTTTCTCCCTCTCTCACATGCTCTCAAATAAATAAATAAAATCTTTTAAAAAAAGAAAAGAAAAGCTGAGTCAAAAAAGTTTAGTAATTTATGAGGCATACCATCTATCCGATATACTGAGTGAAACTTTGCTCAATTCTGTTTTCCTCAGCAAAACCCCACACAAACACCAAGATGAAATGTGCACCTTTCCCCCCAAAATGATAACTCACGGAATAGGATTACCATGGACACATACTCTAATCTCTGAAAAACTTGTGTGTGAATCAATAAGAGGCCTATGCCTAGCAAAAGCAAAGGGACACAGAACAGTGAATGCAGTGGGGACACCAGAGAACGCTTTTCATTCATGAATCACTTTGCTGTTGGTGCCACAAAAGTCCCACTTCATAGAAGAGAGAGTCACAGGAATTCCATCTGGGCACATCTTAACAGCGCCTCTGTGGCCAAACATGAGCGCTCCCGGCTACATCTTTCCCTGGGCTCCCTCTGCACTTCCAGGGTCTCAACTGCACCCTCCATGGCCCAGGAGCACCCAGGTTGCTTTTCAACAACAGTTGTCAGGTTGGGAGGGGAGTCACATGTAAGTGGAATGAGTAAATTTTTCAGAACAAATCATGAAACTGGAAAGGAAAGGAAAAAGGAAAACATAGACATCACAGCTCGACAGTTTTAAATTGCCTTGTGGTCTTGTTTTTAAATTTAAAAATCATGGGGAAAGAACAAATTTAAAATTGCACAAAATTTTGAAGGTCTTCTTATCCAACTCTTCAGTCCATCTCAGCTACAAAATCTCTAAACCACTTCACCAGATATGGGGTCCCCAGCTTGTCCACAAGTCTAGTCCACTGTTGGACTCCTTCAGTTATTACAACGACCTTCTTCATACTGACTTGATTTCTGTCTGCCTCTAACTCCCAGCCATTAATCCTAGATATATACCTACAACCATCCAGAGTTCACTTATTCTTTGATATGACAGCTCTTCAAAACAACCGGGATGCTGGTCTCAATGCAAAGGTTTGCAAAAGCACCAATTCAAAGGGGTATGTGTGTGTGTGTGTGTGTTTGTGTTTGTGTGTGTAAGTGTGTTGCAATAGGTTGTTTGGGAGTATCATGATGGGCAGAAAATAATAGTTTTGAAAGACAAAGAGGAAAAGAACGGCTCTGTGTCTTTGTTTTCAAAAGTTAGTACCTAATCAATTTATATTTATTTAGAACACACCTTGCATTTTTAAAATGCTTTCTGGTAACATCCAAAGTAGGAGAAATTCCATCTGGTCAGAAGATGCACAGCAAAGGAGGAATTACATGTCTCTGAGGTCACACTGACAAGAATGATCAAAATGGGGGAAAGGAAATCTTCAGATTGGCTTCTAATCACGCTTATGACTGGAAGAGATAACATGCCAGTCACTGGTTTCAGTTTAAAGCCCACATAGGCTCAACCACTTCTCTGTCCTGTCAACAGAGTGAAATTGGGCTGATCTGAAGTCTTGCTAGCTGCCAAGGTAGTATCTATAGCTTTTCTTCCTAATAATGGCTCATACCAAACCTTGAAAGTATCTCAGCAAGAAACTGTGCATCCACTAGGAAAAAAATTTCATGTGTTGACAAAAAGACTGCTTTCAAATGAATACAAAATATTGAAAAATAAAACACCTTCACCCAGGAAAGTCTTATATTATTAATTTTATGCCTAAAAAATCCTAAAAAATAAAGAGTAAAAACTTGTTGGAAGATATTTGTTAAATATTGTAAAACTGTGAATTGATATAAAATATTGAGACCTGTGTCACCAGTGAAACAAACAGTGGACCACTGAAGTTCTCAGTTCATTCACCAAACCTCTCAGTCCCACCTTTTCTGATAACCGAGGGTTGAGCTGTACCTGTCTGACAACTTCCTGACCTTCAACTTCCACATTTTTTTTATTTTTATTTTTTAAAGATTTTATTTATTTGATAGAGATAGAGAGAGGGAGAGCACAAGCAGGCAGAGTGGCAGATAGAGGGAGAGGGAGAAGCAGGCTCCCCGCTGAGGAAGGAGCCCGATGTGGGGCTCGATCCCAGGACCCTGGGATCATGACCTGAGCTGAAGGCTGATGCTTAACCGACTAAGCCACCCGGCACCCCAACTTCCACATTTTTAAAATGAAGAATCCAGTGGATAGATCATCTCCAAGGACTGTACATTTGCATGATTCTAAAATTTTCTGTATTTTGATGTCATCACTGCAATACCTATGAGAAAGCCTCATTGCTGAGAGCTAGCTTTTCAGAAAATCCGTTAAATGAAACTTCAGAGAAATTGAAATGCTGTATTTCATTTACGCCAAGCCTTTCAAAAAGCCTTAGGCAACTTGGCATAACAGTAAGAGTACAAAAAAAAAAAAAAAAAAAATAGAAGAGTACAGACTCAGAGCTGAAGACTAGCTAAGATCCAATCCAGTTCTACGACTTATGTACTAGCAGCATGACCTGGAGTAAATGGATTCAGCTCTTGTGTTCCAGTTTCCTCCTCTGTCAAATGGGGATAATAATGGTGTGACTTCATGGGGTAGCCACTAAGGACATAACTGAATCGACAGCAGAATAAATTTATGATGGATTGTCAATAGACTTGAAACCAACCAATGTGTCCTAGCACTAAGCAAATTGTGTTTGAGCTAGTAGAATACAACCTCAGTGCCTAGGATAGTGGGTACTGAGTAAACAGTTGCTGAGAGAATGAATGAGCAGACTGAGAGAAAACAGCTCTATCTAAATGTTTTCTGTATCATCCAGTATACGTCAGAGGAATGCTAACAACAGAATCACAGGCTGCAGCTGTCCACAACTCACCACCCGTGGTAGGTAAGAAGAGCAGCTGAGTTTGTTCTACTAAAGTGAAGGTCAACAACCAATCTCCACATAGCTTCATTATCTTCAGTAACCACATTCACCCAAGGGCACAATAAGGTGGACTAAAGCAGATACAGTATGGTCAAACATCCACAATGAGAAATTAAATGAAATATTAGTGCATTTTTGCTTCTTTGCCTTTATAAGAAATGAAGACAGATACAAATAAAAGGAAAGTCACTTAACACATCATCTAGGATGTGTTAAGTAAAGGCACTTTTTTAAAAAGTGCTATGTCTTGTATCAGGTACTACCCGCTAGGGTCATTTATACACATGCTCTAAATCCAAACTGATGTATGGGCCAGATTGACTATAGAAAGTTCTGTGGCCCAGGACAACCTCTGAAGACCTCAGTATGCATCAGCCCAAGCCTGAACAACTTGCAGTCCATCAGCTAACCAGCTTCAGTTCACTAATCACAACTTACATTTCATCCTGATCCTTTGAGCCTATGCCTAAGTAGATAAAACTGTGAAGAGAACAAACTAATCAGAGGTTCTTCTAAACTAGGTCCACTTCAAGAGGGCCATAGGAAAAGTGGAGGTCACTTTGATGAGAACAGTTTGAATGAAGAAAGGTCCCTGTTCCAGTTCATCATTTCATAAATAGCTAGGTAGCCAGTGGGGCAAAAAAAAAAAAAAATCCTTTAGAATTTACAGAAAGGGTATTCCCAGGAACATCTGTAAAGAAGCAACTTCTTCTTTGGTCAGAAATGAGTAGTCAAAGGCAACAGCAAATACACACACCTTAAAATCTACCCTGAGACATGGGGTCAAACAGCACAGTTGGAGCCTGGCAACTAGCCATGATCCTGGAGACGTACAGATTTCCTCAAACGTATCTTCACTTTATGGCCTGGTTCCTAGTGAAGTAGATTACTCTCATTTTTTCCCCTTTCAGTCCAAACAATAGTTATTGAGCATCCACCATCACAAAGAGCTGTCACGTGTACTAAGAAAACCATTGATGGGTACTAAGGAGGGCACGTATTGCATGGAGCACTGGGTGTTATACGCAAACAATGAATCATGGGACACTACATCAAACACTAATGATGTACTGTATGGTGACTAACATAACATAATAAAAAAAAAAAAAGAAAGAAAACAGGTTCAGTGTGGAAGACCAACTCTTCATACGTTTAACGGCAAATGTAAAGCAGACTCAACGACCCTAAAGCAACATAAGCCATGTGCAGTGGGTAAAAGGAAAAGGAAGAAGGCTAGTCATGGCAGGTGGGGCAGAAGAAGAAACAGGTATTCCTTATTCCACAAAAGGCTGGCAGCAGCTGGAAGGCTGAGCAGGAAGAACTGAGCACCCCAGTCACAGAACAGGCATAGAAAAAGGGGCGGGGAACAACTCAGGTATAAAAGACATATCTGTTTTGTAAATAAGGGACAATAGTGAGCAGTCTCACGTAACTTCATGTTTAATTTTGATATGTACTCTTGAGCATTTGAAGTGTTGGCATT